AAGAGAGTGTTGCTGTTGGGTGCCCTTTTGACCTTTTGTCATTCAAAGTTGCAAATTGTTTCTCTGTGCTCTGCAAGAGAATTTTAGGAACAAAATAGCTTGGAAGGAAAAGGATGTAGCTATAAAAACGTATGCTTATCTCAGAATAACAGTAATTTTGTTAGTAGTTATCTACCCCGTTGTTAATGAGTTTATTTTTTGATTAGGCATTCCACCCTTCACTCCCCCATGAATAGAAGGGAAAGTGGTGTTTGTTTTTTTTAAATGATCTCATCTCTTTCATGCAAAATCCTGTAAATAGAAGCCTTGTTTTCTACTAGCTGTTGTATTTAACAGAAGGCATTCAGAGAGAGGAGTAAAACATTTAGTTTGCAAATTCAAGACCCGTATTTGTAGGAAACAATTGGCACAAAACACTTTCCCTGGGTAGATCACTTTCATAGTACAGACTTAAAAAAACAAAACAAACAAAGCTTGGCCCTTCAAAATGTATAAATAGCAAGTCAACAAAAACTATTATTTTACATTCTGAAATTGTACAGTGTTGTGGAGCTGTCGTTTTCCAATTAGTCTCTATAACTTTGATTAAAAGAAGGAATGGCCCCTTGAGAAATAGCACCACAATAGAGAGAAACGTGGGACAACAGAACATGCATTATCTACCGTGCTGTTATTCCCAGTGCATTGTTAGATAGACTCGTTGGGTTTGGCCTACCATGACCAGAGTGGATAAAAACTGATTAAATAAAAAACTTGTTTTAAAAAAACATTAAATATATTTTTCTTTTTTTTTAATTTGTTTAAAATTAATTTTGAAATTATGTCTACCTATGTTAAGGCCTGCTTTATAATCCATTAACATAAATAGACAAGATACTGCATCAGCAATTCCTCAAATTTTAATGAGTTAAAGAGTGCTGCTGCTTTTTTTGAATTACATACAGAATCGGAGTGAAACATCTCAAACTTTATAAATATGTCACAATGTCATGTACTGCATTAAGTATACTACTATTTTCAATCTTTACAATGCAGCAAATGCTAGTAATTACATTTTTCCAAATAGAAGTACTATACTTCCAGTTTCTGTTGCGCAGAATGGGTTTGCCTTAATTCAGGGGTTACCTGAGGGGGTGGCGAGGTTATTACATGGAGGGTTGCAAGCTATCAGCCTCCACCCCAAATCCTGCTTTGCTTCCAGCATTTATAATGGTGTTAAATTAAAAACACTTTTTAATATATTTATAAGTGGGGGAGGGGGGGTGTCTCAATTAGATGCTTGCTATGTGAAAGGGGTCACCAGTACAAAAGTTTGAGAACCACTGCCTTAATTGCTTTTGATTTCATCTTAGTGAGCACATCAGAGAGAGTATTTTCTTCATTTGAACTAATTCATTCAAAGTTGACAAACCGTTTGGGAGTTAAAATAGCAGGCAAGCTTTTCTTCCAGTTTATAAACTAAAACCAGTTGGGAGAGGATGAGAGCTAATTCTAAAAACTTAGAGGACATGGGATCAGATTTTCAAAAGTATTTAGGCACCTAAGGGTGCAAATCGATGCCTAGTGAGATATTCAACAATCTGAATCTTGAGGTGCTGTTGAAAAATTCCACCCATAGTGATCAGAAGCAATATGGCAATTCACTAACTACAGGCGGTAGTTCCTGTGTTTAATAAAATAAGTTTTAAATACAAAAATATTTTGATAAACTTATTTGTTTATGTATGCAGCCCTTTAAGGTAGCTTTGTTTGTTCTAGTTAAATAATCTTAATGCTTTTTTAGCTTTCTAACTGGATTCCAGTTTCCATTAAGAAGCAACTTGAAGCACAAGTAAAAATTATCTAGTAAATAAATGTCATTCACCATTTTCTAACATAATAAAAAAAGTAAAAGATGAAGAAGTTGAACAAATATATATTGAGCTATATAATTGCTTAAATAAACGTGTATAAAGTGTATTGTCCTGGTGAGTGAGTGTGTGATGTGCTGGTAGATTTTGTGTTGATTTGTGCTGGTGGAAAATGAGGCACTATCTGTGTTTGGGGTTCTTGTGTGTGCTGGTTGTGTGATTGGTTTTGAAGAACTATGGCAGTTGAACCAAGTAATCCACCATTTGTGCATTCCCCTTTACACAAGCAATGAAACTGCTGCATGTAAATTAGCTGTAGAGTAGGGGTGGTGACTGGTGGAGTTACTTCTCAAAGGTTCTCAACCTTTATACCCAGGGCCCCCCTAAACTTAAATAGGCAAACCTGCAGACCTCCAACTGGAGGTGATGCATGGGGGTGGGGTGGGTCATGTGTGGTCACGTGCTTCCCCCGATTTTTGAATTCCAGTTGGCTGTGCTCCCTGAAGTGCTGATGTAGCAGGTCAGAGCCGTGTTGTATCTTGGCTAGCTGCTGCCTGCTTATGGAGTCAGTGGCTGAGAGGTAACCCCTTCTGAAGGCAGGGGGAGATCTCTCTTCTGCAGTTACACTGGTCATTTTGGTCGCGCTCCCTCCCTCCCCCCGCCCAGAGAGGCTGGGTGGCCTACTGAAGTGAGTCAATGGATGGAGGTGGTGCGGCACTCAGGGCTGAAGCTCAGTTTATTTTGGCGGAACCCTTGAAACTGGCTCGCAGACCCCCAGAGAGCCATGGACCTCTGGTTGAGAACTAGTGGTCTAGGACTCTTGACGTGGCTTAGTTACATGCCTTCGAGCTAGTCTACACTGGCAACACTAAAGTGCTGCCGTGGCAGCGCTTTAACTTGCCTTGTGTGGTTGCAGCGCAGTGCTGGGACAGAGCTCTCCCAGTCCTCTAAAAAAACTCATCTCCTTGAGGGGCATAGCACCCACTGCTGGGAGTGCGGCTCCCAACACTGGTGCACTGTCTACACTGGCGCTTTACAGCACTGAAACTTGCTGCGCTCAGGGGGGTGTTTTTTCATACCCCTGAGCGAGAAAGTTGCAGCACTGTAAATTGCCAGTGTAGACAAGCCCTTACTATAGCAGTATATGGCACAGGTATAGTTCATAAAGTCAAAATGGCTGAGAACTTAAAAACTGGATGCTAAAAGAATGCATATTCCAGTGATGATTGAACCTGGTGAAATTCTGAACAAAATGAGCACTCAACCATACTTGTAGCGGTTTTCGTCACTTCATGTTGACTCGACAGACCTGCTAGGCCTTAGAGCAGGGGCAATGAATTAATTTTTTGTCAAGGTCCAAATTTCTTGGTAAAGGCTTAGTCAAGGTACGGACTGCAGAGAAGAAAATAAAAAAAATTAACAGTGATAAGTAAATAAAAAGATTTTGGGGTCGCTTCAAAAGCATCTGGCAGTCTGGATTTGGCTTGCAGTCTGCCTGTTGATTACCCCTACCTTAGAGTGACACATAGGTCAGCAATCCTGGAATCTTATATAGATAAGTGGTAGTTCTGTGTAAATCAATGATAAAGAGTAACAGACTTTTATGGTGATATCAGTTTTCTGTTAGGTTCATGGCGACCTAATGCAGTATAGACATGTTTGTGTCACAGAAGAATTGTTCAGTTAAAAGATCATTTGTGGAAGCTGGCAGAGCTATGATACACAGAGGGATGCTTGGTCTGTTTCTCTACGCTGTTGCGGGGCGGGTGGGACCCTAATGTTTATATAATGCTAAACAAGCATTAATTCCCTGGTGGGGTAAGGGAATATTCTTTCCATTTTACAGGTGAGAAAGCAGACGCCCAAAGAGACTGAAGCCAACATTTTCAAATATGAACCACTTACTTAACTGTATGACTTTGAGGTGTTGAGTACATGTTGACTTAATAGGCGATCTGGGTGCTCTGTATTTCTGAAAATCAGACCACTTACTAGGATAATAAATTTAGATTTTTTTTTAACTATTGTGAATGTACTGTATGCTTTGACTTGCTAAACATATTTGATTATAATGTTGCTTTTGAAACAATTATAAACATTGATTCTGCAAAAATATAGTAAACTAATTTTACTGTTGTAAAATGTGATCTTGCTGATATTATGGTGTGCTCAAAATTTGATCTCAGTCAGAAACATCCATATATATATAATTTTAAAGAAAACTACCAGATGCACCAGGTCGCCTCACAGTGCTCCTCTGTATCAGGTTTAGTGTTGCTATTGTTCATAAAAGATCAGTAGGACTACCAAGAAAAGTGTCAGCCAGTGTCCAAGTTCATTCTTCCCAGCAACAACAAATTATGATGAGAAACCAAATAAAGATGGCACAGAAAATTCAAAGGATATACAAACTAACCCACTGTGCAATTTTGCACAGATTGGCCATCCTATGTCTAGAGAAAAACAGGCATTTATGATCCATTCTAAGCCCATTTCAGAGTACAACCTTAACAGTAGAGTCACTACCAGGCACCTCCATAATGTAATGTAATTTTATATCGGTGAGCTTCCATGCTGGTTTTGCGACAGAATTTGACTAGCAAATGTTATTAATAGAGGTCTGCACGTTCTTCTTAGAAATCTGGTGCACCAAATTAATTCTGGTAGCCTCTTCTAGGTTTTCATAACTATACATGGAGCAATCACTGCAGTTTTACTTGCAATTCTTTTTGCACATGTAGGTGGCCAGTTAGACAGCTTGCTGGCTCTCTGTGTTTGTTTATTGCAAATGCATGTATAAGTATGAGTGTCTGGGCCCCCCCATTGTTGTTTGTTTTTATTTGTAAGTGATAGGACAAAACTTGTGCTTGAAGTATTGGGAACTGTTTTCTTGAAAATACTAATTTTTCTTCAGCTCCCTTTCATAAAGGGAAATGGAAAGAGACTTTAAATATCCACTTTTGAACATTAGTAGTGCAGTATAAATGTAATGTTAAATATTTTATAGAAAATAATGTGACAGTTCTGTTATTGCTACGTTAATAGTAGATTTTTTTCATGGTAACTTTTGTTTGGGGAAAATACTGGCTTCATATTTCTGGTGTTTGTAAGTTACATTGTCTTGTCTTGTACTTTTTCTTAATTTTTCAGATATTGTCGAAGGAAGTGACCTGAAGCAATTTTTTGAGATCAACTATTCTCAAATTTATTTTATCTTCTATGAAAATTTCGTAACACTGGAAAATAGCTTGAAACAAAAAGGTAATCTGTCCTGTCCTACAGTTTTGCCAGGATTTTTTCCATAAACCTGCAGGTGTTCTTAATCAGTTTTAAAAGCATTCCAATAAACACACACTCTAATTGGTATTTCTTCCATACCTTGCTGTATTCATAATCCTTTCATAGTTCCATACATTATAATATTTTATGTACCCTTAGCATCAATACTGTTTACATTTTAAGTTTTCAGGTACTTAAGCTTCATTTTGTAAACTCAAGCCAGAAAAAGTAACTTGTTATAGTAACTCTTGAGCATTCCCTTCAACTTCTGATTTTTTTTCCTAAGAATTTGGATTTATAAATCTTAAACAAAGGAAAGCTGCTAGAACGATCAATAGAAGCTGTTATAGGTACATGCAAAAATCATGACCTAGAACAAAGCATTTCAAAAACACTTGTAGGTATGGGGATATTGCTGGTTTAACTACTACTAATTTAAAATCCATTGATCATTATGTGGTTGACTTTCCACTTAGCAATGAACAATTCTACCCATATCTACAAATCAGAGGTTTTTTTGAAACTATGAATTAAAGGTGGAAAATAAGATCTGTAAAGAATGAAGAAAATATATTTGCAATATGCCCTAACATTATTTCTAAAATACGCTTCATATGATACCGATTGCTGACAAGGAGTTTTCAAAACCCCCCATAACTTTTCAGCTCAAATCCACAAAGAGACTTAAATGTTGCAATTCCTAACTTTTATGCCTAGAAAATCACTGAACAAAAATGGGATCCACAAAGTCTGAATTGGGCAGCTAGACTCCCTGTACAATGAATTGGAGGAGATAGGCACCTAAGAATGGGATCCAAAAAAGCCAGCCTGCTAGGTGGGGAACTGCCTAAGCTACCTAATGGGAAATGCCAACAAGGAAGGTGTCGTAAGTCCCATCGACAGAGTTTGGTGCTGAAGTCTGGGCTGCAGGGAGATTCCTATCTCTGCTTGAGATCCACAGCCATGAACCCTCTCCTCGAGTAAGATGGCTTCAGCACCTAATACCATGGAAAATGACTGGGGATTGGGAGGGAGGAGGAGGAGCCAGAGGCAGCAGAGACCTCCTTCATAATCTTTATGTCCTTAAAACCAGTGTTTTAAGGTAGTTACCTGGGATGTAGGAGAAGTTGATTCAATTTCTCCCTCTAATGAGGAGAAGGGATTTGAACAGAAGTTCTCCAGCTCTCACATGATATTTGTCTGCTTCAAACAAGGGAAATGAGTCCTTGCCCAACAGGGGTGTGAAATTAACAGAAAATGATTAACACTAGTTGGTAGAAGAGGTGAGACTAGGCCTTATGGTCTCCTGGCTCCCATCACAGTGGGTCTTTCTATAAGCCAAAAGATATTTTGATGGATGACATTGTTTTTGCTTGTCTTGCTTGGAGCTCTAGCTCTGTGTGTGTATTGTATGCATACGGCGCAGGAGGTTCAGCAGGACCCTGAACACTTGAAGTGCAGCTGGAACATTCAGAAAATTGGTGGCAGTTTTTCAACTTCTACGGCACAAGTGGAAATGGCAGTTTGCTACTGTTTATAGCATAGGTGTGGTTTGCACACAAAGTTGCACCACATCAACTAAAGTTGAGATTTTTAAAGCAATTTAGTTAAATCCGTGAAAAATGCTGTGTGGACACTTATGAGCCAGTTTTAAGTTGACTTAAATCTGTTTTGTTTGCGTTGGTAAATTTACAAGCACCAGCTAATCTAATATAACTGGTTTTAAACTGACAAGTGTGTTCAGATAGGTTTTTGAATTTGCACTGATTTAACTAAATCCATTTAAAAACCAATTTAAGTTAGTACAACTTGTGTGTAGACAAAGCCTTTTCAGGGAAGGAAAGGATTAACTAGTCTTCAAATGGCTTATTTAAAAAACACATTTTAAAAAATATATGTTTAAATATATTCTCTTTATTAACTGAAAGCTATTTAAAGACTCTAATGATAAATTTAATATAGATTATGCCTTGGCACAAAAATTAAGCATTGTATATACACCAAATGTTTATATATATTGTTGCGTAATAATTAAGTCCCAGATCCTGTAAATACGCTTGTGCTCAATTTTAATCATATGAATAGTTCCTTTGACTTCAGTTAACATGAAGGTTCTTCGGTGGAACTATGCATGTGATTTAAGTTAAGAAGATATGAGTTTGCAGGATTGGGGCCTTAGGTGTTATATATTGATTAACTGCTAATATACTGCAATATGGGGATATACCTTTCTGTTGTGGCTCAAAGCCTTTCAGTTCACTTAAATAAAAAAATCATTCTGTTCCTTTTTAGGTTTTCTTGCGATTATAGAACAACAAACCACGTTATTTTGATATGAAATACTGTTTTCTGTATTGCAGGGAATAAATCACAAAGGGAGGAGCTGGACTCCATTCTGTTTCTTTTTGAAGTAAGTTATCTTATTACACTGTTTACTCCACAGTGAGACCTACAAATATTATTCTTCACTACTTCATTCCTTGCATAATCATTTACACCTGTACAGAGTAAATTTAATATGCACAAATCAAAATGGTGGTATTGTTTTATTCCCATTTTGCGCAAGTGTCAGTGACCATATAAGATTCAGGCCCTGTATTTAGTAATACTTCTTTTTTTAAATAAATTTGCAGAAATAAACTCTGTATTATGATACATGAATATCCATGAGCTTGAGTAATATCCAGACCTAAGAAATTCAAAATGAAAATAAAAGCTATTTCATCTTGCAACATTATATGGAGCCTAGTTGTAGACTCCTCTGGCCTTTAATCACTATTATATATTGTATTAGTCCGTTTCTTCCAATCAGAATAAAGGAATTTTTAAAATCGCTTGACTTCAGCCTTTTAGGCTTTCTGATGAATGCTAATGAAAAATATCACTAAAAATCACATTTAAATTATTATAGACCATAAATATTGTAGAAATATAAAACACACAATCTGGAGATAAATATTCTGTATGTTAATTTGTGGTGTTGGGGGCACTATGTCTAATAGTGTTGCCTCTGCCAGTGCCTTGAATGAGATGACATTTATGGTATAAAAGTGATACATTATTTCTAAAGATATTATAAATCCTTAAACTTTCTTCAGTTAAGAATTCCCTACGTACTCTTTTCATCTATGCTTTTTCAAAGCACTGAACACCCCTTATGTTGCAGTAGCTACGTCAGACCAGGAGAAAAATTAAATTTAACCTGCCAATCAAAACTTCTCATTTTTCAAAGTGTGAATAAGAATGCTTCAGCACATTAAGGGGTTGAGGGTTTGCTTGCTGGTAGCAAGATATGATTTATAATTAGAGATGAAATAGCTAAAAACAAATTGGAATAACTTTCTAAGTTACCCCTTCAATTTGAATCATGTTTCCTGTGTATGTTTCTGTCTTGTTGACCCACTAACAAATGTTTTCCTGCCCATATTGATGAAATGGAAGCTGAAATGAAAATTATGGGGAGCACAGACTTGACTGCTGAATGTTTCCACTAGGCTTTAGGAAAGTATTCAGCAGCAGAATAAGTCTTACTGTGCATTTTAAAATTTCTTTCTCCATTTCCCTCCAAGCATGCATTACTCCATAATTCACCGTTCAGTTCCTGCTTCACTAAAGTTCTGCGAGTGCATCATTCTATGATTTCAGATACCCAAAGATTCTTCATAGCTTATGATGTCCAGTGTTAGAGTGACATGCTCTTAGAACTTCTTAGAACTTTCACAGAGGGAAGAAAATGAAAAGCAAAAAGGCAAGTTAAAACATAGACTTGAGCTAAAGGCGCCCTTCAGCCTAGCTAGTGGAATTTTTTAACACAAATCTGTGTGCAGTCTTACTCTTAGGTTTGTATTTGAAAACAAAAAATATTGCTACACATTTCTAAAGCTCCCACATGTCTCTGGCCTTGTATATAGTAGAAAAACTTACATGCTCAGTAATATTTGTTTCCCTTTACTCAACTGAAAGGTGTAAACATCCACATACAAGTGATTCAGTTCTAAGGAACATTTCACACACACTGTTTCTGTGGGTTAACAAACCACTGATTTTGTTATTCCTGCCTCAAATGTTTGTGTCAGTGTGGACGGAGGAGCTGTCTTTCCATAGCTGCCTCAGTTGGCAAACCACCGTTGGTTCACCACCAAAGAGTCTCCTCTCTGCCACCCACGTCATCTTCCCCATTTCCCCTCCAGAAATGCCCTCAACCTCTACAAGTTCCTCCTGCTCATGTCCTCAGTTGGTGAAACAATTCTGATGTACCTGATAAGAGCAATGTTGCAGAGAAAGATGAGGGCTTTCCCTGATTAATGCTTATTGACCACCACACTGCATTTTCTATCCCTTAGATATGTCCCTTTATCTTCACTAGTGCCCCCCTATTTTGATCCTTAGCTAGCAAACCAGCTGTGGTTCATTGGCTGGTGGGGCCATTGGCAGAGGTATGTCATTTCCCTTAGAGAAGTAGGGGTGGGGAGAGGTCCAAGACGGTCCCACTCCCCATTTCTATCCCTCACAGGGCCTGGGGAAGGTGCCTAGAGAAAGATCTAACAAATAACTGGATCCTGACACCCCTCTGAGGTGAAGATAAGTTCTCAAAAGGCATTTGAAATGAAACGGTTTAAGGCAATGCCAATGTGGGTGCCTAGGAGAAAGATAACTGATCAGCATGCCTAATGTCAATGGACTGAATTGTTTGTCTCTCTCAATTGGTTCAGAAAATGACTAATTACAAACAGTTCAGTTCTCCAGTGCAGACAAAACATCAATAACAACTGGATCTAAGTTTTGCACTTCACAGAAAAAAGGGATGGTTTTCAAACAGTCGTGCAAACTCAAGCTGAGATGTAAAAGCCAACGTGTCTGTCAGTCTTGCACATCACCTTCTGAAATAGAGACTCTGTGTTTGGAACTTAGCTAACAGATTTAATGACTATGTGCAAACCACCAAAGAACGGAGTACACTTGTTGGGAGTTTATATTGATTCTACAGTGCTAACGAGTTTAAACATTTTAAATATATATCTTCTCAGCTGAAGAAAACAGATATCATTTGGAATTCACACAGGGATCAGATATTTTTTTCTTTTAACTAAAAAGTAATTTTTTTAAATAGTTGTAATTATGTCCAGAAACAAAAAACTAGCATGCTGGGATTGTCCCTAGGGTAGACAAGGCAATTTGTATTTTAACATGTCATTTAATACATCTTTTTTTTTAACACATTTAACACAGCTTAAGGGAGTGAAGGCAAGTGAGGAAAAATCATGTAAGGGGAACTATATTGCTGAAGGAGGGGGGGAAATGGGATGCTTGATATTCATTTGAAAGTGCTTGTGTGAATTTGATAAGGATGTCTGGTCTACGATATATTTATTGTTTGTATCACAGTAGCACTTAGGAGCTCCAATCATGGCCCAGAACCCCATTATGGTACAAACACATAACGGAAGAATGTGTTAAGGCTATCAAGATCCATGGAGACCAATGAGGGAGGAAGAAGTTTTGAGGCTTTGGTTGGGTGCAAATTACTTTGGCATGCAAAAAATCAGTTTTAACGACTGACTGTAAACAGCATGAAACAATAGCTTTGAGATGTGAATTATTCTTCTTCTCAATTCCTGGGATATGAATAAGATCCTGCAGCTAGCGTGGATTAAAAACATTCTCAAATAACTCTACTAAGTTCACCTTTTTCCTGGACTTCTGGTGGAGAGACAACATACACACTGCATATTCACTTCAAGGAAGTGAAAAGAGGCTAAATATACCAGTATAGAGTACTCCAATGCACATGCTGAATTTTTTACAAAATCATGGGAAGCCCATAACTTCATTTGAATGTAGGTTGTCACAGGAGAAATTGGGATGACCCCACTTTGTTCTGGAATTAAAAATCAAATCAATCTCCACTTCTGACCAAGAAATGTCTACCAGCTGTTTGACCTGCCTGGATTTATTTTTTGCTGGAACTATGGTTAGCTATATATACCTTATTCAGAAATCCTGTTTGTAATTCAGACCCATGTTCGTGAATGCAGGCACTACAATGGCTCAGCTACAGCAGTGCAGCTGTGCCACTGTGGTAACATAGTGTAGATGCCTCCGATGGGAATGGAAGGTGGTTTTCTGTTGGCCTACCCATGTCTATCCCAGGGGTTAGGTTGGCATAATTACGGTGCTCCGGGGTGTGAATATTTTCACACCTGGGAGTGCCGTAGCTATGTCAACCTAACTTTTAAGTATAGACTAGGTGTAAATTTTAACAATTGTAGATCCTGAGCCAGTCAGGTGGACCCACTGAGGATGACTGTTTGAACTTGAATTTTGAGTTAGCGGCTACAGAATCTGCTTCCATTAACAACCTCCCCCAGTTCTCATAACCTAAAAGATGGTCCCTCCACTTCTTAAGTATTTAACAGGGTGCTAGCCTGCCACCCTCTGAAGATCTGCAGCTTTGAGTGAAAGTTAAAAGTGGAAAAACGTGCACAGACTTCCAGCAGTTAAACTGATATGCAATTATTTCCCTTGGAGCTAAAGCTATCCAAACAGTATTAAAACTAAACTCCCAGCCCTGAAAAATATTTAAAATTGTCCAGCTAGATTAGAGGGTGGGCACACTGTGCAACATGGAGTTGGAGAAGCTACTGATGCAGTCCTGAATCTTCACGCCTTTGATCAAGCAGCTCGAAAAGAGACGGCAAGAAATGTCTTGACTTAGTGAAGAAATAATATGAGAATAAAGAGTTTCTGAAAATTTTGGAATAAAGAAAACCTCCTCTGCTGGTGCAGAGCTTTAAGATGCACTGAATTTAAAGCAGAAATAGTTATTGATGGAGCTCTGAGACCGGTTTCTCTCTCCCCCCAAAAACTGGAAGTTGTTCTAGAGTTGTAATTATTAAGATGCACTACTAACAGCTGAGAGAATCCTGTGACTCATAGGAGATGTAAGAGCAAAAAGAACTTTTGTTTCTGAGGTCATTAAATCAAAGTATTTGAAGACTTCACTGAAAGTTTGAGTCAGGAAAGCAACAGAAGAATTAAGGCAAAGAGAACAAAAATGTAAATGGGATTTTCCAGGTAAACTCATTTTACCTATCACAGCAAGATTTTCAGTGTGTGAAAACTAAAAGGAGAAAAGGTGCTTCCTTCTCTGGGACTCCCTGAGAAGACCGAGCAAAAATACAAGGAAATGAATCTGAGAAGAATTGAGAGGACTGACAGTGGCAGATTGCAGAATGCTTGAAGACAAAGAAGTAGGGTCAGGATTCAGCCTTGCAGGCAGCAGTGAGAGATGGATTAACTACACTGGTGGGAAAAACTCCTTTTGTCTATGTAGGAAGCAGAAGACTTCACTTTTATCCAGTATTTAAATTAAGAACATAAGCCATACTGGGTCAGCCAATGGTCCGTCTA